GAATGTGTCCAGACAAACTATTTCATCGATTATTTACCAACGAGTTGTGGTTTGAGTTGGGGGCAATGCGACTAAAACAGTAGTTGAAATTCAGGACACCATTTTTTAAAACGCGTTGCTTGAATAAAACTAACCAGACACATTCAATTTACCAGACTATTGAACAACTAGGAAAAGTGAAAAAAATACTTCTTATCGCCAGCATAAATGCGTATTTTTTTTTTTTACAGAAAAAGTAATTTTTCACCTTTGATTGAGTAACGCGTCGTAGAATTCAGATACGGGCATGCAAAATACACTTGTGAAAAGCTTGAAGTCTGGCGATTCTAAAAATATATACTTTCCCGGGTCTATTTGTAGTCATTAGTCACAATTAGAAGATGAAAACAAGTATGCAAATAATAGTCCCGCTACCTTAACTCTGTGGCCTAGTTGTGTGTTTTTAATCCAGGAATATCTGTATGCAATGAATTCGTTTTGGAGTCGGAGAATCGCAATCACTCGCTTGGTATACGTTACATATTGGTATATTGATTTACAACGATTATATGTATTGACGACCCGGGCAGGTAATCACCTGGATTTTGGGTGGGAGTCGTTCGCAGCCAGCTGGAAACTGGACCCACAAATATCGACGTTGAGGGAGATTTTAGGTTCAAAAATTTGCGTTTTTTACCGAACAATTGCATAGATTTCGCTAAAATGGCCGAAAATCTTAAATCTGGGTGTCAAAAAGATCTGCTCGACCGTGAAACAGCACCCCATACCCGTTTACTTCAACTATGGGAGTACACCCCCTCACGATTTACGATAATAACAATTAGTATAAGTATAAATGTTTTAAAATTATTAATGTTTAAACACAATTTCTTGCAATTGAATATAAACTGACCCGTCAGTTGAAATAAATAAGGTTAGGCGTCAGAGGGTTGACAGAAACTTGATGTTCTCGTGGTTGCGACAAGATGTTCATACCTCTCACCATCGTTGTAGGAAGTAGTGTCCGTTCGTAGAAGCAGTAGGCCCGAAAGGCTCAGCGGATATGCCGCGACAGTATAACTTGACGGTCTTAGTCATCTGGCATCTGCGTGTCCAAGCCCTCGTCGTTGTTCCGTGGGGGTGATACATAGCTGGGTAAGGAGGTGCCCCTGAGTGCTCAAAAGTATGACCATTTTTATACCTGGATAGTGGCAAAATCTATACCCATCTTTATACCAAAGTACCATTTCTGCAATAACT